TTAAACCTTAGATGATTTACTAGAGTAGCAGAAGAAAAGGCCCATAAATATCCTTACTCTAACTTTATCACCAGGCAATATGTCCTACTGTTGCAGACCCCATGCGCTTACAGTTCTAGTTGCAGCTAGTCTTAGTGCAGCCATGTTTTTGCACTGTTTATAGAAAAGCAAGTATGACTGGAATGAAAACGTACATTCCAAGTTAATCGTGGTGACATATATCTGCATCATTCCCCAACTGAATCTCATTGGTGCATAGAAAACAAATTATAACAAATCATTATTTTCAAAAGTTGATTAGGGTTCAGGAACCCAAAATGACGTTGACTTACCAACATCTTTTACTGCTAATAGATGTTTTTTCTAAAGACTGGAAAACTCTAAAGTAGGTGGAGGGGCACAAAGACACCGAGGCAAACGATCCTTGATTTCCAAGGAATTTTCAAAAAAGGCTCACATTAGTGATTGGCATTGGTTGCAGGTATCAGGGCAAGAGGTTATTGAATACCAAAGTAATTATTCAAGACGATAAAAATTAAACAGGTGACTGCAGTTCCTCCTTTAGAATTTCCAGACAGCAGAAAACCAGGCTATTTAAAGGGTATCCCCACTTACCATGATTTTTAATATTATATTTGTTTATTTATCCTCTTTAAATAACAAAAATGTGGTTATAAGGGCTGAAAAATAAAAATGTAGAAATCACAACACTGTATCCTGGAATTGAGTGCCTCTGTACTGGCTCTTTGTCAATTATTGTTACAAAAAATGGCTTTTGCACTTGACTGTATTATATGTTTTTGTTTTTGTTTTTTTTAAATGGAGAATAACAAGAAAAAAGGTTAATTCAAGTTGTAGGTGATTTTCAGTGTTTAACTATTTAATCATTTCGAGCAAAGTGATAATTTCCTTTTAAGCAAAACACTCCAAGTTATGGTCTGACATGATTTTCAAGCAAACTTAATTCTTCTTCAGTAAAAAGTAAGTAGACATGTATCTATAATACACACATACGTAGAGATTGTAGCCATATTATTCCAGTGAGATATAGATATATATATATATATATATAAAATAATAAACCTTCCAAATAACTTTGTGTCTTTTCAGATTCAGAGGTTCTTCATCTTTTACCTCAGGGCACTGACTGGTCATCTGCTTCTCCTCCATCTCATTATATGCTGTCTTTGGGGTTTAAAAACAAAAAAGATGGAATTTTCTTAGAAAAACAGAGCACAAAATCACTGCTTGTCTTTATAGGTAAGTCGTAATGTAATATTTTAGTAAAATTTTAAATCTAATAAACCAAGCCATTGCTCAACTTTTAAATCGCCCCATCTTTAAAGTTGCTTAATTCACATGTTACACATCCATGTCAAGAAAATGAATTCAGTCCAATAAAATTCAGTTCAATAACTTTGCAAATAAGTGTTTGGTACAGGGGTGGACAATCCATTTGTCCAGCAATCATCTACTAGCCAAATAAATAAAAAATATTATTACTGGCTTTTATAAAGTGTCAACAAATTCCACAGCACTGTACAGTTGCGGAATAAAAAGACACTACTGCATACACAAACCATTAAAAAAGATAAAGAGCTGGGAATTTTTCTTTTATTGAAAGTACTTTGCTAGGACGTAATCCACAGGTTAGAAGGTGGAGTTGAGACAAGATGATGGCCAGAGAGAATTGAATAATTGATGCCACTGGAAACATATAAAGCAAATGATGAGGTCCTTCAAGAAACAGAAGAGGGGTCAGGGATGCTCAGACATCTTATTGACATTGACCTTGGCCAACAAATAGATTGTTGTATGCATAAATAAGCAATCCCAAGGCTCAAAGTTTATCTATCTGCCCAGCATGCCTCCAGGTGACAACACAGCATCCGCCTCATACAGTCTACTCCAGTAGTAGAAGCCGGATGTCACTTTAGCAGGACAGATGCAGAATCTCGGTCATTGTCTGAGAGAGCACAGCTGTTGTGGTTATGGTGAACTGCAGTGGTTATGGTCCTTCCAGTCTCCCTTATAGAAGCAGGTAAACAACAAAACACCAATTGGCCAATTATTGGCACATTTATATAAGGTTCGTTAAAAAAATAATAATAATTTTAAACATAGCAGAATAGGAATGACCTAGCTATAAAACCATTGTCTTGGAGCATTTGTAACTTTGAAAACCTGTATTCTAAAAAATAATCAGTTTTACACAGAATCCCTTGCTCATGGAGATGTAATAAATGTCTAAATGGTAAAAAAAAAATTGGAATGATTTGTTTTTAAGAAAATATGTTTATATGGTTACCTGTGCTTTCCTATTGTATTTGTTTATAGTTTTGATAAATTTGTGTATAATGCTATTTTATCCTCTTTAAAAAAAAATTGAGAGAATTGCTTTACTGCCTGAAACATTGCATATATTATTTTCATCACTTTTACCTAAATATATATATAAATTACTTAATAACGTGGCAAAGGCTACAAATTCTTCAGAGATACTTTAAATTTGCTCTAGCTCAACATTTCCATATTTTATAGTTCCTGGAAACGATCATATTTATTTTATTAGGTTTCATGAGAAGTTTTCAAATGTCAGTTTTTCAACTAGTAGGACTTGAATTTCTGAGCAAATGTCATCACATTCATTGCCCAAAAATGACTAATTTTGAACAAATTGAGTTTAGATGGATCATTCACACATTTCTAGTTCTCTGTAAGTTAGGTACATGTAATCACAGTCAAGCACAGGGAACCTTTATTCTTCAAACTGAAGTGATATTATTTGGGGCAAAAAAATCATACAGTCATAATGAGGCTTTCTATTCAATACTGTACATTTCAGTATTATTTCTTAAATTCTGTTTTACTCTTTCCTCCCATGACTTAGAAACTCATGCTAGGGAATTGGTTTAATATTTCTAAAAAAGTTTGTATAAAATAATACCATCACCGTAAGAATAGATTGTAGACCTCATTTTCAACAACACTCTGGAACATTTTAATTGAAAGCAATGCAATGCTGGGAAAAACCTTTAAAGAAAACTTGCAAAGAATATATATGTTCGCAAAAGCAATATATTTAAAAAAAACAAACTAATTTTAATACAAAATAGCTAACATCTATTGAAGTTCCCGCTTTGTGAGTCATTCACATTTTTTCTTTTTTTTTTTTTTAATCTATAGGTTACAATATAAGAATTCGAGGTGATTCTCTTTTGATTGTACCTCAAAGCACATAACATTGAGAAAAACCTAGACAAAAAAAAATTCTAGTTGGGGGAGAATATTTGCAGTATAAAATCAGTAGGGTCACACACATATATATATATATTTATATATGTATGTAAATAAAGATAATTTTGGTGGATTATTACTATTATATATATATATATATGTATATATATATATATATATATACGTATATATATATATATATATATATATATGTTTAGAATAGAAATAATACAAAATTGTCTTAATTTTGTAAATTAAGACAAACTGTAAATAAAGACAATTTTGGATTATTCCAATTATAAACATATATATATACACACACCCTGTTTTGTACACAATTCTAAAAATACACAAAGACCGTGTACAACCCCCTGGAAGGCCCTCTCGGCTAGGCATGGCTTGTTGGAACCTATTGCAAAGTTCATTGATTGGCACATTATGGAAAGTATCAAGCAACTTCCAACATGTCTACAGCATACCCCCGATTTTCTCTCCAAAGGGAAACGAATGGATATTGACTCTGATGGAAACACACTACTGGTTACATTAGACATATAGAGTATGTACACTATGATTCCCCATGAACATGGGATAAATGCCCTCAGAGAGATTCTCTCTGACACAAGCCTACCAAGGACCACCCATTGAGTATCTCTTGGAATTACTAAAGATTGCCCTGATTTGTAACTATTTTAAGTTCGAAGACTACTTCTATCTTCAAAATATATATTTCTGTACAATACACGTATACACCAAAGTAGGTAAGAAGATATATAAAATATGAATTACCCTTATAGTATAATAGATTGTAAGAAGCTCCCTTTTATCTTCTTTTTTAGAATAATTTAAAACAATTTAATAAAATATATTTTTATAATTGGTTATGTTTTTTACATTTGGTTCTTTTTTTACCATTATATTTTAATCCACATTTTTAATTATACCTACTCTCAGATTTTCTCCCCCCTATGAGGATTTGTCCTTCTCCAATTTACATTTATCAATTTCCTTACTTAGATATTTTTCTACATCCAATAATCTCCCAGATTAGTTTTAAGATTTTTTGGCAATTGTATGCTTTTTCAGAGTACTATCATATGTCCAACTCCTACCTTGTTATCTTGGTTTCTTTGTATTTTATAATTTTTTACTACAAAATGTTTTTAATTATTGTTATTATTTGTTATATTTAACAATTTTTGGTGTGAATATGAGGCTTTTTATGTTTTTTCAACTTATTTCTGATATTGAAACTTTTTTATACATCTTTTCTCATACATATTTATAATTCTTTATTTTTTGTGCAAATGTGAACAGTCAAGCTTCATATGCCACAACAGCTCTTTCAAGTATGGTAAAACAAATATAGGGTGTCAGTAACATGGTATTAGTGAGGATTGCACATTTTTCATAGTTTAGTAGTGGAAAAGAGAACAAGCGTGTGAACATTATAATCTTGAAAAGCATAGCAGGACATTTGTGTTGGGCTAATAAGATGTGGACATGCATTTCTTAGGTACATGAGTCTGGTACAGGCTTAGTTAATAGAAATATCATTGTTGATGGAATCAGGGTTAATAAAGTAGATTACATGTTGTTTACATGGCTAGGATAACAAGGTAAAATTACCACTGGGATATATTAAGTAGCCTACAGCATAGCATATACAGGAACTGCAGAAACTAGATAGTAAAAACATGTTTAACTGTGTGTAGGAACATAATATGCTCAGGAGCTTTGCTGTAGAATGGTCTGCGGCCTAATCAGCCGATGCCTGCAGAGGGAGAGGCCCTGTCCTTGACAAGCTGGAGTCTGGTTAAGAGTAGCAGGCCGATCCGCCGGCTCCGTGCCTCCTCATACTCAGGTGCTGTGTTTGCTACAGTCTGGCCACGTCTGCCTGCTGGGTAAATCGATGGGGTACTTTCCTCGTTAGGCTGCCAGCGGTGTGAAGTGGGAGCTTGACGGCTATGCAGGTTTTGCCTGGGGGGAAGTCCCTTGGTGGTTCGTGGTGCCGGCAGATTGCAACCAGCTGGAGTGCCTGCTCGCCGGGGCTCCTGGGATGGTCGTGGGATCCTCCTACGCCTCCGTTTGCGGACACGATTTGGGGGAGTCCCCTCAGCGTTGCGGCGGTGAGTATACTTGGGCGGGTCTGATGCATGAGTGGTGTGTAGCTTGCGGTCACAGAGTTTTGCCCAGAACTGAGCACACAGCCGGTCAAAAGCTGCCAGCAATGGGTCGACAGGGTGAGGAGGCTGTGAAGGGTTCGGTGAAGCAGCGGGTCCTGGCTTGGCGGCCATTTTAGTAGGTAGGCCTCGACCCTACCGACCTCTGTAGAAGAGTATTGCCACGCCGACAAGGCCGCTAGGTTCCACCAGTGGGGGCCGGGATATCCCCCGCCGGCCCAGAGGGGGGGGAACAGGACCTTGGTCCAAGTGTGAGTGAAGCTTGGTTAAGGGATCGGCTGTCTCCCTCACCTCAGGTGCTTTGGCAGGCCACCGAGACGTCGAGTATGTCGGATGCTTGTGCAGGCTTGTAGGCCCCGATGTGGGTTCATGTCACAAAAGGTAAAGGGGTGCTTCGAACTTTCCCAGAGAGTCCTCACTCTGTACAGGAGCAGGTAAGTAGGCGTTTGAGTAGTGTCTGTGGGTAGTATTCCATCATTAGAGCACGATTTTCCAGAGTTTTTTGAGGAGCTCATACTCTGCACGTCTGGCAGCCATGCTGGTCAGGCCCCGCCTTTCTCATACATATTTAAATCCTATTGTTATATATTTCTGGACTTACATACGGACTTCCGGATTGCGATTTGGAACGCATGATGCATTCCACGTGATACCGGAAACCTTTTTCCTGGTGACACGCAAAACATCAAGGCGTGGAAAGCATACACGAAGATGAAACATCCAGGTGAATCCACTTTCAATCTCGCCGTCCGATTGGCTGCAGGCACGATGGAAAGGCACAGAACTACTTACAAAAGAAGAATGGAGGAGATCAGATTATACCTTCAGATCCCCTGATGAAGTCCCATTAGGACGAAACGCATAGGGCGGAGAGACCCACACAGTACCTTCAATTGGTTTTATTTGTTTTTTTATGTGTATTTGATTTTGTTTTCTCTGGCTGTTTCACATTTTTGTTCCTGATCCCAAGGGACTCCCCTTCAAGTGTGTGGTGTGGCAAGACATACATTGTGATATGCTGGATTTTCTCATACATTTTGTGAGTGCAATCATAATAAATTTTTAAGTCATTATTTTATTGGTACACTATGTCTGTGTCTCTCTCTTAAATCCCTCTCAAGAACAAGAGACAAGAGGATAAAGCTCCTTCCATCTCTAATTTTATACATGCCTGCAATCAATTATTATCTGGTGAGTGCCACTAGTGCTTTATGGTGTCTTTATTTACTGCACCATTATTTGTTATTTCTTTCTCCATTGTTTAGATTGTATTTTTTGTATGTCTACTTCTATCTTCAAGCTGCGATGGGGGTGGCTATGGCTCCCTCTTATGACAACGCGTACATGTACTTGTATAAACACGACGGGTGGGGGGCCGAAAGTAAATTAAGGGGGGAGACCTATTGTCCCCCCGTCCCCCACCCTTGGGCGGCGGGTGGGGGCCATAATGATAATGAGAGGTGGGGACCTACTGCCCTCCCCCTGGCCCCCACCCCTGGGAGTCGGCTATACCTGCTATCAACAAACAAAGAGCATATCATTGAGTATGTCAGGTTTGTGGATGACATATTTCTTCTATGGCGGGGCACTGCCCATGAATAAGAGGAAATGGTCCATAATATTAACCAGCTTCCAACCACCGTCCGATTCACAGCTACTTCCAGCCCTTCCCAGATACAATTTCTGGACATCACTCTGTATGTACAAGATCATCAATTGGGTTTTATTCTGCATCGAAAACCAACAGATCGAAACACTTTGCTGGGAGCGACGAGTTATTATCCACACACTCTCAAGGTCTCACTACCCGTTTCACTGTACATAAGAGTACTTCACTACAATAGTGATGCCACTAGAAGGGAAGAACAACTCCTTGAGATGACTAGTCGATTTCTGGAAAGAGGATATTATCCCCAGGTGCTCAACAAAGCCAAACAGCAAACTTTGAGAATTTGGCAGGACCCAGATTCATCCCACCAAGAGGATGAAAAATCCCAAATCTACTTGCCACTTACATAAAACACATGCTCAACTGAATTTAAGTCCATACACAAATACTGGGGTATATTCCGTTATGACAAAAACCTGCCAGAGGTCTTCACACAGCCTCCTATCATCAGTTTTAAAAGGAACCAAAATTTGAGTGATGTACTGGTCAGACACTTCCCAACCTCATGCTACAGTAAACCCAGGGGATTCCGTAAAAAAGTTTGTTTGAAGTGCAGTGGCTGCGTCACATGCAACCACATGATAAGCAGGTCATCATTTGCACATCCACACTGTGGGAAAAGAATCCCCATTAACCATCATATTACTTGCATGACAGACCACGTGGTATAACTCATCACATGCCCATGCAGACTAGCATACAATGGGAAAACTGACCTTACTGTGAGGGACACTGTGGCACCACAGGGACTGAATTAACATATCTCCTACTCTATGTACCTATAGATCTAGGATGGACACTGTCACCTGATTGGAAGTAATATGACGACATATACACTACCCTGGTTAAATTCCCCGTATTTTGATCTAACCAAAATAATTTTGTAGAATTTTTGTTTTTTGGGGGAGCTAACTTTTGCCATTTCTGTGTATTTTCTGCAATCTTGGTTATTTAATTGCCTCTTTTCAACATTTTTCATTTTAAATTTTTTATAATATTATTGTTTATTGTTGTACACGGTGGACACCTGGATTTACTGACATTGCCTGTGTGTATATATTATTAATTTTTCCCCATTTTTACAACATTACTACTGTCTTTGATATATTTTTTCAAGTACATATTTACAGTTTTTGTACATATAGTCTCTCTCTCCTAGATATTCTCTTGCCTGTACCTGTGTCACACATGTATTGCCAGTGTTAGTTACACTCAGTGCCCAGTTTCTTGCCTCCATTTCTATGTACTATATTCCCATATATTTGAGGCAGTGATCATGCCGCTTTAAAGTTGTGTCAAATATTGTAAAATCTTCCGTACACATATTTTGCCAGTGGGTAATTCACCTTTTATGACAGTGGTAGATCTTTAGATACTAGTTATAGTACACTTTGTAATCGTCCGGTCCTCGTGCCCTTTTATCATATTATGTGGATTTCCTTTAAGGTCAGACCCTTGCCACGTTCTATGATCTATTATTCTTATTTTTATTGGCTCATTGTTCAGCATTTATTATTGCTGCACCTGGCTTGGTTGGAGCTCCTTGCAAGGGTCCTTCCTGTCTGTTGGCCACTTGTGCCTATATTTCTAACTTATCTTTAATACACATATCCATTTAATGGTCATCTATAGACTTGTTTGTCTTAGCCCTTATGTGGTGTACTTACACATATATGCTATGTCTGTTAAGTCTTAAAGCTACCTGTCCTATTAGAGATATTTACTTTGAATTTTTATTTTTGTTCTTATACCACTTGTGGCTATCATGGCCATGGATGTGGCTTCTTTGCCTTGCTATGTTTGCATGATGGTATTACCCACACATTACAGGAGACTTCGGCATTCTACTTTGCTGTCTATGGCTGATGTGAGTCACACTTTTGCTTTTTTGTGCACTTTGCAGTTCATACACTATTCACTTTTTTTCACGTGTCTTCTGTTTGTTACCTCCCTTTCCATAGGCATCACTGTAGATCATGATGCACCCTGTCCTCCATAATTTCATTTAATCACTCCTTTTAATAGCACATGTTTAATCACACACATATGTCACAATACAGTATAGCCGCCCCCGTCGGTTGCTGTAGTGTTACCTAGCAACCAAACAGAGTGGGTACGGCACCTTGGACGTAATTACTTCATGGAGGGGTAACGTGTCCTGCTTGAACGCTTCTGGGTTACGGTACAGCATCACTTGGATTGGTAAGTCACTGTAGCGTTATTGTATATATTTCATGCTTGAATATTTCACATGTTGATCTTGAGAAAGACCCATAGAGGGTCTTGTATGCAATTCTTGAATGCTTGTATGCAATAAATTACACAATTTTTTTCATCAAAATCCCTTGAAGTGCACCCTTATTTTTTGGATGATTTATTTATTATGCACGGATTTGCACCGGGGTATTGAAATACATGTTACAAGCTAAATGGAGAGTGCCAAGCTTTTTGTGTGTATATATATATATATATATGTATATATATATATATATATATATATAAATATATAATGGGAATAATCCAAAGTTGTCTGCCTTTCCCACCGTCCCTTTCTGAAAGCCATCGATATGCACCTTGGGGCCAGACTGTCAGTTTTTAAAAGTAAACTGCAACAAAAAAATGACATTGACAAATCTGCTTGTAAATTAAGTAGGGAAACCAGCTTAGCTTGTTTAAGGGACATAATTACTGTCTGTATCTATGTTCTGCTCATAAAATATCTCAGGAATAAATTTAACCTTTCTTTGGCTATTGAAATACAGCACAGAGTATTTTCAGTAAAATATTTAATATCTTCTGACCCCAGCTCCTTCATCACTCTCGGTTTCTTAAAGATGTTATGATTTCACTTTTCCTTCGATAAATCATTACGGCATTGATCATGAATACATAGTAATTGTATCTCCTTCTCTCTCTCTCCTTTTCTCTCTCTCTCTCTCCTTTTCTCTCTATCTCTCTCCTTTTCTCTCTTTCTCTCTCTCCTTTTCTCTCTCCTTTTTTCTCTCTCTCTCCCTCTCTCTCCTTTTCTCTCTCTCTCCTTTTCTTTCTCTCTCTCTCTCCTTTTCTCTCTCCCTCTCTCCTTCTCTCTCTCCTTTTCTCTCTCTCTCTCCTTTTCTCCCTTTCTCTATCTCTCTCTCTCCTTTTCTCTCTCTCTCCTTTTCTCTCTCTCTCTCGCTCTCTCCTTTTCTCTCTCTCTCCTTTTCTCTCTCTCTCTCCTTTTCTCTCTCTCTCTCTCTCTCACTCTCTCCTTTTCGCTCTCTCTCCTTTTCTCTCTCTCTCTCGCTCTCTCCTTCTCGCGCTCTCTCCTTCTCGCTCTCTCTCCTTCTCGCTCTCTCGCTCTCTCCTTCTCTCTCTCTCTCTTTCTTTCTCTCTCTCTCCTTCTCTCAATTACCCCCATGATGGCATACCATTTGCAGTAGTAAACAACCCAAGTTTTTGATATCATTACATGTGTTTGTGTTTTGTTTTTACAAAAAGATTAAACTGCATTTTCTTAATTTGGTTTTACTGGCGTGCATCTCCAAATTTAACCCTGATTATGTACAAACTGGAATAACAGGAGCCTGTAGTAAAATATAAACACATTTCAAATAACTATTTTACATTCTGACTATCAGTTTGGATTATAATTTAAGGAGAGTGCACTGGGAGCGGTTTAGACTAGGTACTTTTTTTTATATACTTGTGCAACATTTTGGTGTTCTCTCCATGAAATATCTGAGTGCTGGGCAGAACATTTGCTGGCTGAAGTGAAGGTTGTGTGGAGTTACCTTCAGTAACTACTCCCACAGTATAGTGACATTGATACAGGCATGATGTAATATCCCAACGAACACAAGGTGTCTGGTCATGTGAGCTGACGTCCCTTCCTTGCAACCTGCACTGAGTAAGGTAGGGAGAAGTCAGGAGACTAAAATGATAACATACAATGAAACATATGTGAGGCTGAACTTGATGTTGCTTTTCAGCCTACTTAAGCAAAAAATTCAAGAAACCACTGTGGTACTCCGCAGATGT